TTTTTTTTTTTTTCTAAATTACACATAATATATGTACACATACATGATATATAGGCATAATTTTAAAATTGGTCCTATAATTTGATCACAGTAAAAAAAATCACCCTGATATTGACCACTTTCAAAATTGGTCATATAATTTCAAAATTTAATAAAATCTAGTCATTTTTATCTGAAAACATGAATTAAAATGTGATTAAAAAAATATCAAATTTGATTAAAAAATGATAAAATTTGATTAAATTTTGAAATTATATGACCAAATTTGAAAGTGGTCAATATAGAAGTGGTTTTTTAGACTGTGACCAAATTATAGAACCAATTTTAAAATTATCTCCACATACATGCATACGTAACATACACGTTTTAGATTTATTCATTTATTCTAGATTACACATGGTATATAAATCAATATTTTCAAGAATATTTATGACATTTTATCGCATTTCTGAAGTTTGACCATGATTTGAAAAAAAAAAAATCATTATTTTCGCTTTGAATTAATTAAGCGTTTATTTTGATTTCATAATTTTCTCCACGTGCAAAATAATATAATGCCTCACTTTATTAATCACTAGTGCGTGGCCCGTGCGATGCACATGAAAACAATATTATGATTGTGTTATAAATTAAATATACAAATAAATTAATCAAGATACCCATCGTTTTTAAATTAAACCGTGTTGGACACAATCCGACCGGATGGACCAAGAACTGGTTTATAATCAATCTAGTTCACTTGAATAAAATATTTGTTATTGAATTGTCAACACCAGTCGGTTGAACTGGTAGGATCGATACAATTTTCTAATTAAATTTGGCTATATTTAAAATTATTTTAAATAAAATCATATTTAAATAAAATAGCGATTTATAAATTGTTTATTAATTAATTTAAACATTTGAATTTTTAAATTATTTAGATATTTAAGTAACACATTTTATTCAAATTTTATTACAAGAAGTACTATATATATGTGTGTGTGTCTGTGTGTGTGTGTATTAAAGAATATTTCAAAGAAAATAATTAAATTGTATATGATTTTATAAATTAAATTATATGATTAAATTGCATGATTATATTAATGCGTATTTATAAATTAAATTGTACTTTATGATTTTAAATAACAAAAATAATAAAACTACTATTCATGGACTGCATTAAATGCTTACCTATTTTTTTGCTTCTAATTTTAATAAATATGATGGCTCTTTATATAAGTATAGATAATTTTATATAAGTCAATATACCAAATACATAATGGTCTTGTTTGAGGTATATTCACTTATCATGATTTATCAAATTTATAATTAATTTAGCTTCTAACCTCTCATTAACAAGCCTAATTAATATTCGGTGTTATCTATGTATAGCTATCATATTTAATTTTGTGCTGTGAAAATGAAATATTTAACCTTATTAAAACTGCACTTAGTTAATGATGTTAAGTGGAATTAGTACAATCAACTCATGTAAAGATCTATTCAATTTCTTCTTACTTCACAACAAAGTTAGTTTAGGTAAGTTGTCAATTGTGATGTTCCCTCAAAAATCAACCTTAGTGGTTGATTTTTTTTTTTATTTTATTTTTTTTCAAATCATAGTTAATTTTGAAAAAAATTGTATAGTAGGTCAGTAAGGTTTACTATTCCTTATTTAGAAAAGGAAAGGAATTAGAATTGCTAAGATAAGAATTCTTTCAGATTGATCGGAACTGTTGTAAATATTAAGTTGTGGACATTACCTAGATATAGGATTTGTAGGCATGGGCTAGGAGCCCATTAGGTATTTACTCATGTACATTATATTCCCTTATATATAGGGCTCAAGTGAATGAATAAGATGATGGTTTTGACGGCGTATCTCTTCTCTCTTATTCTCTTCTTCCTCTACTGTTTCTATCTTTGTCTATTTTACACATAGATTTTACATATTGTCAATCTATATTACAACACGTTATCAGCACGAGTACTCTACCATCTAAGCGAACGACTGCAACATAATGATAAACGGACAATCAAGGTAACAATGAAGAATAGATGTATGCCCTAGAAAAGAATCGTGTCTTTTCTGTCAAGGTAATATTCAAGATCTATTCAATATCAATAATAATTTAATG